AGTGCCTCCAGTCACAGCATCCACGTGACCTAAATCCCAGAATCACTGCTAGAGAGGGGCCACCAGAGAACACTGTAGAAGAGATGCTGATTTGCTGCCCTTTAACCAAATAAAGGAAAAAAATTCCAGACAAATTAGGGTGAAAGAAAGAGAATAAATTATAAATAAGACGAAGCAAGAAAAAGCTGAAAAAGACCTTCCTAACTAACCAGTGAGTGCCATTGGTCATGGCATAGGGGACAAAACCACTCTGGAGCTCCTGCAAGATGCTCTCTGGAGGTGGGTGGTCTGTAGATGCTGCTTGGTGCTAGAATATTTGTTAAGTCCTGTAACAATTCTATTTCAGGCTCAGAAGTTTCTGCACATCTCCATTCTGACAGCTCCTTTTCCAACCACAGGGTTTTGCAGACCCAACACAAGTTTTATCAAACATCCATTTTCTAAGAGCGGCTTCACGGAAAACAGAGAAGAGATATGTGGGGAGGGAAAAAAATAATCCTACCCCTGCTAACTGAGAGTCCAGGCATGGAGTTACTCCTGTCCCAGAGACATACTATCTGCCTTCAGTGCCTCCATGTACAGCATGACTTGCACACAGGAACACACTACTTGCCCGACTTTTCATTCAATAAAATATTTCAGTATATTTTATCTAGTTTTATGTTTAGCCATCTATAACCACCCTTCAGTACACAGAACTTAAAAATGGTAGGTTAATCTGCAGCAGAGGGGCTCAAACCCATTCACGCAACACAAGGAAACCCATTTATAAAGTGTCCTCTGACATATTCAACTCAAAATTCATCCAACATCTGGATATTTACATGGGCAAAGTTTTGAGAAGTTACAAATCCTTCCAAAGTCACCAATAACTCAGGAATTACTACATCTATTGCATACATCTGTGACAGCTTTTCATCCAAACGATTGAAAAGCAACAATTTTTCTATCACACCTGTTGCACAACCCAACAATACACAGTCACCCAGGTGCTGTAACTGCTGCTGAGGCTGCAGGAAGAGCTGAGGGGAATACAAAAGCTGCAGGCAGACACTGTGCAGGAATTGCAATGGCTTGGAAACTGCAGGACTTCAAGCTCAGTGAGCTTTCAAACACAGAGCAGGGAGACAGTACCTGCAGGTACCCTTGAGGCACAAAAACTGGAGAGCAAAAGTGAGCAAGTAAGAAGGATTGCACCATGAGGTGAAAAGGAAAATCTCCAAACAGCGTAGGTTCAGCCCAACAGGTCTGTAGGTTGAGGAAACCACTATCTTCATACTTTTTTAAGGGTAGCTTATTATGAAGCCAGTGACCTGAGGCATGTGAATTGTGATTCTCAACAAATCATATCTTATTCAGCTTCAGGAGTTTAAGATAATCCACAACAGACAAAAGTGAAGGAAAACAAACAAGTGGCAGATAATGATAATCATAAAAATCTTATCTTAATCAGTATCTTGACTTTTAATTATCAGTTGGAGGTTACTACACTACAGATTGAGTGCATCACAGAAGCAGAGCTAGCTCCATACTGAAAGCCAAGTCCACCACGACTCTTTTGTACGATGTTCCATCAGAATTGCTACAGCTATGTTCCATGAAGGACTACCTCTAGTCTGCAAAACCATTCGGCCACAACGTGCAGTATAGCAACCAAACTAACAAGGCATTCTGTGCTGGAGCTGGCTGCACACAAAAGCTCTAGCAATTCTGCACAGCATTCCCAGAACCAGGAGCATCCAGCAGAGCCGATGCGGATCCAACCTCGCTTGCGAAGCCCAACTAACCATGGCACTGCCCAACCCAAACATCCTCTTGGGCTCACCCGCACAGCGCGAGCGGCTGAACCCACCCCAGGGCGGTGCGGGTGAGCCGTGCCCGGTGAGGCCGCCCCGGGAGCCCTGGGCACGTCCCAGGGCCCTCCGATCCCCGGCCCCCTACGGCCGCTCCTCCGCGCCCGAGCGAGCCCCGGCAGCCGGGCAGCGCCCCCCGCCCCTCCCGCCCGGCTCCGGGCACATCCCGCCGGGCTCGGGGGCGGCGAGCCCGCGGTCCAGCCCCGCGCCACCGGCCCTGCCCCGGCCCCTCGGGCCGCGCTCCGCCGGGGGCAGAGGCACAGACCGAGTACACGCGTCGGCCCCGCCGCCCGCGCCTCCGCGGCCGAGCGGCCCCAGCCCGCCGGTCCCGGCCCGAGCCGGGGAGCAGCGCGGGGGCTGCGCGCCCGGGGCCCGAGCGGGCTCTTACCGAGAGGCGGCTCCGGAGCCGGGCCCGGGGCCCGCAGCGGACATGGCAGCGGGGCCCGCGCTCCCGCCCGCGCCGGAACAGCGCGCGGCGCCGGCAGTGGCGTCACCGCCCGGGCGGGGCCCTGTCGGGGCCGTCGCTGCGGCCCCAGGACCGGCCCAGCGATGGGGCTCTCGCGGGGTGTTTGACTGTGGAGGGTTCGTCCCGTCCGGGTACTCCCGAAGCCGCTCCATCACCGCCTTCCTCGGCCGGGCAGGAGAAAGAAAACAGAACGAAAGGCTCGTGGGGCGAGAGCAGGGCAGGAGAGATCCCTCACCCGGCACCGGCACGGGCCAACAGGTCCCGGCTGGGGGAATCGGTTTAATTTATCGCCAGAGAAATCGAGAGTAGGGTAATGAGAAATGAAACCAAATCCTAAAACATCTCCCTGCCTCCTGGACTCAGCTGTATTCCCGATTCTCTCCCTCCTGCCCCAGGCGGTGCAGGGTCAGTCCGTCACACGCTGTCCCCGCCGCTCCTCCCGCTCCGGGACAGGACTCCTCACACTGTCCCCTCCCCAGCGCGGGTCCTTCCCACGGGCTCAGTCCTTCAGGAACAGGAGCTCCAGTCTGGGTCCTCCACGGCGCCTCAAGTCCTGCCACCGAACCTGCTCCGGCGTTGTCACAGCTTCCTTTGGGCATCCCCTGCTCCGTGGGGCTCCTCCCGGGCTGCGGGGGGATCTCTGCACCGCCACTGACCTCCATGGGCTGCAGGGGCACAGCTGCCTCACCGCGCTCTGCACCGCGGGCTGCGGGGGAACCTCAGCCCCAGCACATGAAGCACCTCCTTCCCCGCTGGCGCTGGGCTCTGGAGGGCTGTTTCTCGCACACTCTCACTCCTCTTTACTCTGACTGCCAATTGCTTCTGTGCAAGAACTGTTTTGCCTTCTTCATTATCAACTATTAATTAATAACTGTTTTTCCTTCTTATTATGGCTGCTCCCACCATCACTGATGGGCTCAGTGTGGGCCAGCAGCGGGTTCCACCTTGGAGCCAGATGACTTTGGTCTCATTGGACACAGGGAAAGCGTCTGGCAGCTTCTTACAGAAGCCACCCCAGCAGCCTCCCCCCCACCTCCCTCCCTACCACAACCTGGCCGTGCAAGCCCAACACATAAAAATAGTTTGTCACATCACTGCCACACGATGGGGTGTGTCTATAAATTTTTCATGTGCAGGTCAGAGCGTTCAGGGGGTTTTGTCTGGTTTCATTTTGAAGAGCTCTAGCAGGTTTTTCAGAAGTTGTTTCCTCTCTGAAATAATTTCTTTCCCCTTTTAGCAGGTAAAAACTTGCTGAGCCTTTAATTTCACCTCTCCCAAGAGTTCATATGGTGATTTAAAAAAAAAAAAAAAAACCACAAAAAATGGCACATTGAAGCTGTGTCGGTGTGGTACCAAGGCTTTTTCCTCAAGTATAAATACAGAAAGATGAGAAGGTGGGAAAAAGTTAAAGGGCAAAACACTTGAGGAACACACTTTATTTAAAAGAACTTTTGAGGATCCATTTAATTGCAAAGTAGAGCAGAGTAATGCAACATTGCGGTAGAATCATGAAAGTAATTCCAGGAACAGAAGTAGCAGCTCAGCCTGGTTTTTAGAAGCACGTTGTTACTGATTAATTACTACAACATCTCCTCCTGAAGTGACCTCTGGGCTTTTCCCTCCATTTACCCTTTTCCTTAGATGCAAGTCTACATTGGTTCCCTGAGCCCACGCTGCCCTGGCGTGAAATAAAGCCCGCGGATACCCACAGTGAGGAGCTAAACTGTAAATTCTGCTGCGAACTTTCCAGGAATCCAAAGAAGATCATGCATTTGCCAGCTCTCCACGTAAAATTCCTTTCCATTTCCTCCAAGAGTGGCAATTCCATCGGTTCGGTGCTTTAGGGTCTGTGAAATGAGAGCTCCACTATGGCATAGGGACCAAGGGGGACAATGGAGAGGTCCCCTCATCTGACACCAGCAGAGCTCCTCAGCCAGAACGTGCCAACAGAGCAAGGCAGAAACAGAGGCAGATTCCTCCAGCAAGTCAGACTTAGGCTTTTAAATTACAAAAGTTGCTTCCTTGCTGTGTTCTCTGGCTCTGCAGATTCAGGGCACATCTCTGAACATTGTTGAGGGACAGGACAAGGTGCTGGCAGTTGTTTGTTATGGGTGGCCATTACTGGAGCAGAGCCCAGGACTAGGAGGGAGATGCATTCTCATTGTGATCAGACTCTTTCCTTTGTCTGGCACTGGGCCTGGAATGCAGGGGTGTCCCTGGCAATGGCCTTAGAAAAATAAACATATTAGTTCTTTTGCTCATTCACACAAGAAAGGACAAAATCTGCCTGAGAAGCTCCAAAGGATACGACTGAAGGACCCATATCTCCACTGAATAAAAGCAAAGCAGTACAGTGTTGGTCCTGTCTTTGGAAAGGCTTGAGCTTACCTTCGCCGTGCTCGGGTGGGTGTGGGAAGGCCACTGTCAAGCAGAGGAATAATTGGTGTCACAGGTCAGATACACCCTTCCTGTCATCAACAGACTAGGTAGTTTAGGGAACCAAAAACTGTTGTGAAAACAAGTAAGTTCCCTTCCCTGCCCAATTTCCTGTGCTAGATTGAGCAATTTGGGTCAGAAAAGGAATCCCTAGTGTCTCATGACTGGTAACAGAACTCAGCACTCGTGGAAAACCACTTTGCCCCGGGCCCCAATGGACTGCAGCCAGCCCTGGGTGAGGGGTCTCCAGTGCTGTTGGAGCCTGTGAATTGTGTGTCTGTCAAGTGTCCTGTACCACTGCCTAGCACTGATTTACTCAGAAAGTGGCTATGACCTGATGTAAAACCTCACTTGCTGTAGGAAATCAAGAACTAGCCAGCTTCATTTCTTTGCAGCAGAACTGGAAGGGCTGGGGGAAGGAATAATGTAATGGCTACAACCCTAACTTAAATAAATAAGCACAAAGATACTAATGCATTTTAAGATTTTTTTTCCTTATCGTAATGCCCATGCTGACAGTAACCTTTGGTTATTTGGAGTCTCCTAAGCTAGATTGTGTGTTCACAGACACTGCAGTCAGTCAGGAATTAGTAAACTGAGACCACTGGCTGGCCAGTTCTGCTGTCACACAAGAAGCCAGGGCAGACCATAGTGCCCTTTGGCGCTAATGCTGATCTGTGGGGAGGTGTTGAGGCACTGCCAATTTCTCTTCCTTTCCTTCCCAACTTGACTGACTCAAGATCTGGAAGCAAAGGTTCATAATAGCTACTCCCAGACATCTCTGAAGTTTGGATCCCAGCAGACCATGTGAGTCGGTAAGAAGGGATCAGAGGTGCAGATTTCCTCTGACAGCGTTTGAGGAACTCCATGGACTAGTCTCTTCCAGCCACTCAAGAGCTTCTTCAGCTCAGACTCTCTTCATAGGACCATGTAAGCTGCTTAGAAAAGTTACCCAATGACACTCACAGCTCAGCCTGTTCTTCCAGGTCCTTTAGAAGTCCCTTACAGCTCTAATACTGGATCCATTGTGAGGGCTGGGCAGGCAGAAGAGCAGGGACGGTTCTGTCTGGACAATGGATAATTCTGGTGCACTTGACTTCTAGCTGCTCACTGCAGAGCTCAGTGACACATTTCTTTTACGTAAAAGCAGATTGATTGTGCTGTTCTCAGCACCCATGAGAACACCAGCCCAGACAGAAGGTGCTTTCCTGCCAGATAACCACAGGTTCCAGTTCTGCCAATTGTGTGTGTATAGAAGAAATGAGCATCCATTCTTCAGTCTAATGGGAAAAAAAAAATATGTAAAATCCTGATCTTTTGTTTTGTCCCTTGGTGCCTCTTCCTGAGAAAAGATGAGTGATCAATTCACACCTCTCCATCTGCAATCAGAACAGGCTTAGTGGTTCTAACAGATCCTAATGGCATCCTCTTGGTGAATGGTGCCCTCAATCACTGTGTCCGTGGTTTGTCTGGAGCACTTGCGACTCCCTTTCATGCTTTTCAGGTTTTCTGAAAGATGCTTCTGGAACTTCTTGGTGAGGAAGCAGTAGATGATGGGATCCAACACACAGTTTGTACTCAAGAGGCACAAAGTCACCTGGTGAGCATCGTTGAGCTGTTGGCGCAGCTGACAGTTTTCCTTCTTCCACTGTTCCAGAACAGTCAGGGTCCAGGGCAGGTCCACGATGTGATGGGGCACAAAGCTTATGATGAACACAGCCAGCACTGTGCACACCATCCAGAGGGCCCTTTGCTTGACATGAGCGCTCTTCCGTGGATGCACCGACTTGGAGAACAGGGTCCTGATAATGACAATGTTCCAGCCCAGTATAAAAAGGAAAATGATATAGAAGAGGACGCAGATGATGACGTGAATTGCGAGAACAGCCGAAACCCCACTAGAAGTGTCGTAGCGCTCAAAGCACCGGGTGAAATTCTTCGAGTTGATCTCCTCTTGATTAGTATTATTGTCAAAAAGGTAATACAAAGAGCTGCCCACTATTATGATCCAGATAGCTGCTGATAGGTAGATACCCCTTCTCTGTGTGGTCAGCTGGGAAGCTTTAATAGGATTAGTCACAGCTTGGTAACGATTGTATGTGATGACCATCAGAAAGGCAACAGAAGAGTAAGTGTTAACAAAAAATAAACAGCCAGCCACATTACAGAGGAACTCAGGCATGATCCAGTCTCCACGGTGGTGGTAATAAACAATCCACATTGGCATCGTAACCAAGAAAAGCAAGTCAGCTACTGTCAGGTTTATCATGAATATCTTGATTTCATTGAGTTTCTTGGTAGGGTAAATATGGCTGAAAATCCAGAGAACGTAGCAGTTGGCAACAAAGCCCAGAATGAAAATGATGCTGTAGAAAACAGTGAAGAGGTTGTAGCGAAACTCAGAGTCTATGTGGCACAAAATGAAGGAATCAGCACTGCCTTCCACACCACCTTTGCCCTTTCCAGACATTGCGGTGCTGAGTGGGTACATCTGAAGCACAGTTTCCTGCTATAGCTTTCCTTCTTACCTAAAAATAGAAGGCATAAAACAAATTGATTGTTTGGCATCATTGCTAAGCCAACCCCTACCTTCAATTTTAAGTTGTCTATGACCACGGGAGTTCTGCTGATGCCTTGGTTCCAGCCAAGAGACCTGTCCTGTCCCCTTGGTCCTGTCTTTTATCCCATTTCTACACCATATGAGCCTCTGTGTCTTCATCCAGCATTGTTTGCTGCAGTGAGATCTCAGATCGCTCACCTCTAATCTCAAAAGACTTTTTTGCATGAGTTCTTAGATCAAATCATCTGTTACTCTGTTTTGTCTCAAGCTTCTTAATCTTTTACTATAGTCAAACGTTTTCTGTGACTCATCCTATCCCTGTGTCCCATTCTCCCCACACCTCCCCTCCACCCTGCCATGGTTCTTGATACTTTTTAGCTTGTTTATTTTAAACTAGAAATTTCAGACATGAAACAATATCTGGTAAAAATGTCTCATAGAATCCCAGAATAGTTAGAGTTGGAAAAGACCTCTGGAGTTCATCTGGTCCAACCCCTGCTAAAACAGGTTGCCCCAGAGCAGGACACAGCACTCCAGATGTGGCCTCACCAGGGCTGACTAGAGGGCAGGATCACCTCCCTCAACCTGCTGGCTACACTCTTCCTCATGCACCCCAGGACATCATTGGCCTTCCTGGCCATGAGGCACACTGCTGGCTCCTGGGAGTCCACCAGGACCCCCAGGTCTTTCTCTCAGAGCTGCTGTCCAGCAGATCATCCCCAGCAGGTACTGTTACATAGGGTTATTCCTCCCCAAGTACAGGACCCTGCACTTGCCACTGCTGAACTTTGTTAGGTTCCTCTCCAGCCTGCCCAGGTCTGGCTAAATGGCAGCCCAGGGCTGCCCACTCGTCCCAGCTCTGTGTCCTCAGCAAACATGCTGGGTGTAGGGCAGTTTCCAGTCCCCCTGTTTGTTGTTTTCTGATGTTTTCCTGCTCACACTTGTTTCTTTCCTCAGCTTCAGGCACTGCAGGCACCCGACATCCCCTTCATAGGCCACCAGACCTCTCAGTTGTTGTAGTCAGTGAATGATGTAAAAGATGTGTCCCTGATCCTAACAGGTATGTTTTGTGGTACATTGTCAATTCTAACCTTAGGATATCACACTTATAATCTTGGCTGTTTTCTATCATCATTTTGAATTCAAGTTGTCATCAAACCTGGCTCCCTTCCCCAGTCCCGTTTCTTCATCAGATGCCGGGGGCAGCAGCAGCAATTCTGCACTTCCATGTAAGGCTGCTGGCAAACACTGTCCCTAAAGAGACACTTTCAGGATTTTGATATTACCAGTCCCCATCTCAGTGGCAATTTCTTCACATCTTGCCTACGGTTTGGGCACATCAGTCAGTCCATCCCTGGAAGTGTCCAAGGCCAGGTTGGACGGGCCTTGGAGCAATATGGTCTAGTGGAAGGTGTCCCTGCCCACGGCAGGGGTGGAATGAGATGAGCTTTAAGGTCCCTTCCAACTCAAACTGCTCTATGATTCTATGATGTTGTATCAAATTTCTGCATCCTCAGCCACGAAATTACAGAATCACAGAATATGCTGAGTTGGAAGGGACCCTCAATACTGTACATGTTCCTGTATCAGTTTTACATGAATCCTATCTAATCCCTTGTATACTTCAACCTGCTGCTTTTCCATCTAGAGGACACACAACCTGTTCCTGACTCCAGCACCCTGTGTGATGCTGAGCAGGTGCTCGACTCTCCATGACATGATCCTGCAGATCTGCTTGTTTTTCTCTCTCCGTCCCTTCATGGCAAGACAAGTGGCCACTGCAGGGAGAGCAGTGGGAGACACCCAGGGAGGCTGGGGCTGAATCTGCTGGGGTTTTAACCAAATTTGCAGAACACGGCGGTTTTCCTTGAGAGTGAGTAAACTCTACCACCAGTCACAAAGCCTAAACTGGTGTGACTTATGCTGGGAGTGCTAGGTGCTGCTCATTGGACTGGGCTTGCCTCAACTCCACCAGCCCCATGGACAACAGGCTTTTCTCCAAAGACTTGCTGCTCCTGAACAGGCACCCTCCTGTCTCAGAACTTTGTGGATCCTCCCCAGCAGCAGACGGTGCCAGGAACTCCCATCCCACCCTCTGTGGGCAAAGTCCCCCTGTATGCTCATGTGCTGTTGTTCCTCATTTACACATTTGGACTTTTGCAATTTTCCACTGAAAATGGGGAAGTCAGTTGAAGCTCAAGCTCGCTCTCCCTTTCTCCAGAAAACTGCAAGCGCTTGGTACTGCTCTCCAGGCGTTAGGACAGGAAGGCACCAGTCATCTTCCTGAGGGGTCTGTCCCTCCTCACAAGTCCCCTAAGGATGTGACAACTACAGGCTTGGACCTTCCCAGACGGCTGCATGCTGGGCAGCACTGGGGGCTGAGTGTCCTTAAACTCAATCTTCCAGCCATGGTCCATGGGAATTGGCAAGCAGCCATGGCCATACTGGTAGTTGGCCTCAGGTGACTCACGTATTTGTCCTTGTTCACCTCAGTCTCTGCCACCCTGCTGAGAACCCTCTGCTCTCTAAAGGGCAGTAGATGATTCAGGTGGTGGTGGCCAGGAGGATGGTCTGGGCTGTGACACCTCAGGGTGTTCACAGTCTGGCACATCCCTGGGGAGTAACATGTCACTCACTGCTGCCCTGTGGAGGGGATCCAGAGCAGGCAGAGGCCCACAGTGTTCTCCTTGGGTTCATGCAGGACACAAAGCAAGTCCTCTGGTCATCTTAGGGATCATTTTGCACACCCTTATCTATGCATGAGAAGTGCTAATTGTCACAACACGGTCTTGCATCAGTGTCTGTGTCTCAGTCCAGCTCTGCCACCCTCTGAGGCACCAGGTCCAATGAGGGCACATGCCAGGTGGGAGGATTTGCATCTCAGCTCAAGAGGGCACCGGGCAAATATGGACATTGAGGGAAGCAGTGAGACTGTGCAGGGGCAAGAGAAACTAGTGGGGAGTGTTATGTTTGCTATGCTAGTCTGACATTAGAAAAAAACTCCAAGAAGTCCTAATTATCTAAGATCATTAGAGAACTCCTTTTTTTTTTTTTTTCCAAATCTGCATCATAAACCCACTGCTGTGACTATCTGCAACATCAGCAGAATAGTTCTGGTGTTTCGGGGTGGGATCTTTGCTGTGGAAGGTGCTCTATTGCGGTGGCACCAGACCTGAGTATAGAAGAAGTGGGGAAAAACCCCATGCTTCTCTCTAACAGGATTCATGAGGAGGAGGGAGGAGAGGAGTGTTCACATCCAATAGGTGGGCACGGCTGCTGTTCACAAAGTCCCTTCAGACAGTGCCCCAGGGCACTACCCACCCACCCATTTCTGGTGTTGCACAATGGCAGGGCAGCCTCCAAACTTTGCCCAGGAAGTCTGGTGAACTTTACTGGTGGGGTCTCTAGGCTGCCCACCAGCTGCCAGGTTTACCAGACAGGGTGGAAGGGAGAGTGAACCTGCACGTCCCCTCCATGGCACAGCCCTGCATTGAAGGTGGGCTTGAGCCACAGGGCTGCACTCTGACCTGGAGAGGTGAGTGTGATGACATGCTCTATGACTGCTTCCAGTCTGCTGAAATCTCTGCCAAAGGTGGTCTGTGGGAGATGGCACTGCCACCTGGCCCCAGTAGCATCTGGTAGAGCTCATCTGTCTTTGCATTAGCAGGCTGTGCTGTGCCAATGCTGGGGAATCACAAGAGAGGTGTTCTTCCCTTCTCATGATCCAAGCTAGGTGTTGTACCAAGCACAGCTAGAAGGGAACATGGCATCGTTCCCCACCAAATTTACTCAATGCCCACTTCCCTCTTCAGGCTGAGGAACCTGAGCTCATGTCTTCCACATACCTGTGAATGCCCTGAGCCCTGGAACACTGTGCAGGGGCTCTCACTCAGCCTATCCTGTTGAAGCAGTTCCCTTTCTCTGAAGCACATTCGTACCCTCCATGCCAGGGGAAGGGTGAGCAGGCACCACGGGCAGGGTGCAGGCTGTGGCTCGTGTCCTCTGCTGCCCCATGGTCAAAGCCCCTGACACCTCCAGCCCAAGCCACTGCCTTGCCCACAGTGCACCAGCCAGTAACCCCAGGTGGGCTGTACCATCAGCTCCACTGATGCAGGACTGGCGATGGAAGGAACCAGCTGCACAGCAGAGCATGGCTGGGGCAACCGCCAGCCCTGCTCCCGGTCTACAGACTCTCCCATGGACCATGCTCTCCCAGTAAGGATTTACTGGCTCATGGTTGCAAGCAAGCTATACCATCAGCAAAAGTATATCCCAAGAGGAATAGTACTAATAAAGTATATCCCAAGAGGAATAATACTAATAAAGTATATTTTCTGCTTACCACGGTTGAAAAGATTCAGCACAATATGTCCATCTGCAGCCTGAGTAGCGGTGGATGTTTCACTGAGGATGCTCCGTCTCCCAGGGGTTATTTTCCCTGCCCTGGGGCTGGACAGTCACCACACAGGCAGCTCTCAAGAACAGGACACCGGAATGGGAGCAACTGCAGCATGACTGCAGAGTCACTAGAGAAGAGGAAATGTGTGACATCAGCTCAAAGGAAATGAGAAATAAAATAACTGTAGAGGAAAGGCAACAAACCACAGCAAAGGTCTGGAGAGTCCTTAAGGCTTTTTCCTTAGAGTATCTCTGGTTATGAAAGAGGGCAAAGTTGTGATTTTCCTCTAAAGGCAGAATAGGAATCTACTCTGTGTCCCTGGTTAGATTTGGGATTAGACAGCATTTGAGCGTCTTCCTTCCAAAAAGATGAATGCCAGAAGAGCTTTCACTTAATAACTTCCAGGAAAGGAAGAGAAAGGAGACTCATGTATCCCATGGACAGACTCATTTCCCAGCAGTCTCTGTCACAATTGTGTTGGGGCTACTCAGACCCAGGGACTTCAGCCATCACAAGCCTCCTTTTATCTCAGGGGCTTTCAGCAGACACTGGGACACCACAGCAGGGCAGATCCTCATCTTTCCCATACACTTGCATCATGGTCACCATTACATGTAGCAGCCTGGAGCTCACTCAGCATGGAGGTGCTGTTGGTGGGGTGCTCAGGGTGCACCAGTGACAAGCAAAGCTGCACCTGTGTCCCAGCCAATCCCTAAATCCCAGGCTGTAGCTCCCATGGGGATGGTTAACCTGCCCTCCAGGCAGACAGTGCTCTTGTACCTGCACACGGCACAGACGTGAGCTCAGAGCAAAAACCTCACACCCGACACACCCACAGGAACCAGAGCCCAGACTCTGGTGCCCGGGGTCGCTGTGGAACACACCCCAACAGAGCCACAGAGTCCATCACCAGCACCAAGGGGTGTCCGAGTCTGCCACAAGGCTGCTGGGGAAGGGCACGGGCCCAAGCAGAGGCAGAAGAGGCCAGTCCACACAGGAGCTCCTCTGGGAAGGTTGGGAAGAGCTCCCCTGGCTCTTCTCAGGAAATGCCAGCTATGGCAAACATCCCACAGAAGGCCCTGGGTGGGAGGACACCAGAGACCCCTGTGGTGTGGGTCTCCTGGGAGCCACAGGGATAGGCTGAGGGTTGTGTGCCCTAAGCCACAGCAGTGAGGACACCAGCCAAACTTCTCCAAGAGCCAGGAGCTTCCACAGACTCTGTGACTTCATGTCACACTTTTGTCATTGGGTAGTGACGCCTGGTTCCAAGCTGGGATAGGCAACCTCCTCATCAGCAGAAGAGATGGGGCACCAACAGAGGGGCCAAGATGGACAGCAGCAGTGCTGCTCTGCACTGGCTTTTGGCTCACTGGCCTCAGGCATCCCGAGGTTATGGGCTGCACAGCACCGGGGCAGCTGGCATCCTGCCAGAACCCACCCACCATCCATTGCTGGTGCCTGAATGTCCCCAGCCAGGGGCAGCCAAAGCCCCAGCACCAGTCTGGGCTTCTTTGTCTGGATCAGCTCTTCCTTGGCTCTTCTCTAGAGGGTGCAGGTGGTCTTTCCCAGAGCCACTACAGAGGGAAACACCCAGCGTGCCCTTCGGCACAGTGCCCCGGGGGGGCAGAGCCAGGCGTGCACCCAGGGGCTTGGCAGCCCCCAGCAGCCCCAGGTGAGCTCCAGATGGGCAGGACATGTGCAAGTGCTCTGCAAATTGCTGCAGGTCCTGCTGCTCCGGAGTCTGCTCAGGGAGACCTCCAAAACAACCAGATGTCCATGGACATCACAGCTGGTACTACAGCTGGACATGCCTGAGCTGCTGTGGAGTCACCCTTGTCCCCTACAATAACAGCATGGGGTGGCCAAGGGACTTGGAAGCCCCCTGAGCAGAGTGGGACCCAAAGCCCCCCAAGTGCAAGAGAGCCCTGTAGCAACAGCATGGGATGGGAACCCCAGCTCTGCCCTGCCTCAGCAGGGTGGGCTGCATGAGGGGCTGGCATGTGGAGCAGGGGACAGGCAGGCTCTGTCTCTGTCAGGCCGTGTCAGGGTGAGCTGAGGCTCCTGCAGTGATGCTTCAGAGTTGTGCTGGAACAGAGGTTGCAGGCAGCCCGGCTCCTCCCCTCTGCCACCTGCCATCCTCCCTCCTTCCCACCAGCTGCTCTAGGGATGGACAGAGGAGCCTGACCCTTCATGGACAAGGCAGAGCCCCAGCTGTGCCCTTAAGGCTCCTTCTGGAAGCTTAAATTAAAAACCAAACAAGGGCATGCTAAGGAGCTTGGCTGGCAGCCAGCCCATATCTCTGGGTAGAGCAGCCAGTGAAGTCTGGAGGCAAGAGGAGTGCTTACAGGGGCTGTAGCAACAATCAAACAAAGCTTGGCTTGCTGTCCTGCCACAGCCCAGCCCTTAGAGGAAATGAAAACCTGGAGGCTTTTGGGCTGAGGATGAGCCCTCAGAAATCTTCATCCTTCCTCTGCTCAGCCCTGCAGCATGCCCATTCTCCACTGACAGGTCCCATTGCCCCCATAGTGCCCAAAGCCAGCTCTTCCCTTTTGCTCCCTTCCCACCTGGGGACCCTCTTCCCCTGCTCTCCTGGCACTGCTGCCCATTTCCGAGAGTGTAACTTTGGATCCAAAATTAAGATGCATTTTGCTAGTGGAGGCTCATTCAGCCCTCCTGGCAGCCTCACTGCCCTGTGCCTGCCGCTATTTCCCGCTCTTCCTGCTCAGGAGATGCACACACTGGCTGTCAGCTCTGATGGCCATGCAAGGTTGAGTTAAGAAAAAAAATCTTGAATATGCCTTCACTTTCATCAAGCCAACTTGCAACTTAATAAAAAATAAATAAGCTTCTCTAACTGATTCCCATAGGTGTTGCTAGGAGCACTGATGGTCCTCCAGATTGTTGTACCAGGATGCTGGATCCTGGAGCAGCTGTTCCGAACGCCACTGTCCTGGGATAACTCCATGCAGACTGGCTGGTGGGCAGTGGCTGTTACCCATGGGTCTGGCACCCAGCAGCACTCTCATGGCAGCGCTCTGCCATGGCAGATGCCCACTGCCTGCCTGTACACACTGCCTGCCTCTGGCATGTGTCCTTGGGGTCGTTTCCATCTTAGATGGAGCTCATTAGGAAAATATTTGCTTTGGATACCACATGTAATTTTGCAGGGATCAGAAACTCTCTTGGTTTTGAAAATACAGTATTATAAGCAAATATCCAGATCTTGCTTCCCAAGAACAAGCCATGCTGTGTTAGTGGAGAAGAGCTCTCCGAGGAGTGCAAATGCAGGAGCAGCAGCTCAGCTGATGGGTCTGTGACTGCCCTGGTGGTGACACAAGCAGCAAACAAGGACAAGGTGAAATACCAACATGGAGCTTGTGACAGCACCAGCTGCTGCCACCAGGCTCAGAGCTGTGTGGGGCAGGACCAGCACACAGATGAGCCTGATCCCTGCTGGTCCCAGTCCCCAGCACGTGTTCTTGAGTGCCAGGATAGGTCTCTGAAAGAGCATAAAGTTCCTTTGGAGCCATAGCAGCTGCTGAGCTGGTGCTGAGCATAACTGTCTGTGAGTTCCCACCACTCACTTCACACCCTCTGCAAAATTTCCTTTTGCTTGTTGCGGGAAAGAAATACTAAATAAACTCTGTGCTTCCTCTGCCATGAGCATTTCAGAGCAGAGCAGAGTGTCCCCCCACCTTGTCACCAACCCTGCAGGTATGTGCCCCAGAGCTGGGCTTGCTTAGCTGGGAAGCACAACAACCCATTGGCCAGGAGCCCCTCCTGGGGGGAGCCACTCAGCAGCACTCCCTGGGAGCCCTCTGACACTGCCAAGGCAGGGCATGGCTTCTGCCACTGGCTGTGCCACTGGGATTGCCTGGACTGGCAGGGAATGTCACTGCTAGGAGCAGGGCATCCTCCAGCTGGTTTTGGTTCCCAAGCCCAGCCCTGCCGCACTGAGCAGAGGGGTGAGCTCACAGGCCACCACGTTGGGATTTGTGTGCTGCAGCCCCAGGCTGTCACAGCTCTGCTGGAGGTGAAAGCCGTGCCCTGGCTGAGCTGCCACAGCTGGGACACTGCTCCTGGCTGCAGGAGACGGCTCCTGCCACGGCTGCCAGCCCTGTCCCCCACCCAGCGGGATGAGGACCTGGTCTGCTCAAGAGGCTCTGAGCATTGTCTCCTCCTTCTCTCAGGAGGAAGGTCCAGGCAGGGCTCCTCACCTCACTTCAAGCGTTCAAGCAAAGCCAAGGCTGTTGTTGCCACCCACGGGTGGACAGGACCCAGATGAGGGCAACTCCCCTCCCCATAGCCCCAAAAGCACCAGCAGCACACACCTGACTCATGCCATTGTAATGCACCTCACCTCTGCTTGCTGGGCATGGGAACAAGGAGTGTCTTCCCACACCCAGATCGGGAGGACGAGGAGGCTCTGAAGCCCCTGGAGCTGTATGAGATGCCATGGCTCAGCGATCCACGGGAGACGTGGAGCCAGCCTATGTTTTCAGATACCCAGCCACAGAAGGAGCCTGTGGAGCGGGGGTGGAGAAGGCCTGAGGGAGCAAGCAGAAAGGAAAGGAGTGCCTTACCTTGGGGTCACAGAGCACCTTTCCCGGCCCAGTTGGAGACCCCAGCCCGCCAGGTCCCTGCTGCAAGTAGAGACACCGGCAAGGCCGAGCTGTCAGTGTGCTCCTGCTCAGGAAGAGGCTTGGACGGGAAGGAGAGTGCTGTGCTTGCTCCCAGGTGAGTGACTCACTTCCCTCTTGGCACTTGTGACGGGCTTAGTTGTGCCCTGGCTGCGCCCTGGAGCTTGACACCAGCTCCTGTGGCCCTTCCTTGGGCAGCGGACAAAAGGAACACAGTGGCGGAGGCTCCATCCTGGCCAGGGGCTTGTCACACTCCTGTGTCACCTGGTGTCTCACAGGCCTGAGGTGGGATAGCCCAGCCCTGGAGCAGCTCCCGGGCAGGGTCACTCCTCAGCTGGGCCAGGGGCACAGAGATGGCTGGGGTTCAGCAAGGGGGGCCAGCACCCTCAGCAGGTCCATCCTCTGGGCTCCTCATTTCCTTCCAGATCCTGGGGCCAGGAGCCAGCAAAGTGAGTGCTTGTTCCAAAGCTTCCATGGGAGGTGGAGACTCAGCAGGCAAAGAGCCAGGACAGGACTGCTCTGCTGTGGGAGCCCCCATATGAAAACATGAGCCAGAAGAGACTCCAGGTTGTGGCAGCTCATTCCTGTGCCCCTTCTGCAGCACTATAAACCCCCCTCGGTCCTTGCGCTCCTTCAGCCTGGGAAGAAAGGGTGGTCAGACCTGTGGGGGATCCACTCCCTCCAGCTGCTGCTGGCACTGCTCTGCTCAGGGTCCACGTGGGGTTTCCCCAGATGTGTTGTGTGGCACTGGCATTGCTCAGGGCATGGGCACAACATCCGCTTGAGTCACGTGTGTTATAACAAGAAACGACATGTTTCTGTCTACTCCCTTTAGTCCCCATGGGTTATCTAACAAGGAAATGTTGTTGGGGTTTCTTTGCTGGTAAGAGTTGGTAAGAGTTGGCTCTGGTTTCAGCAGGAAAGGAAGTGTGAGGGTTCTGAGACAGTCCTGAAGGGCCAGACAGCCAGAACCCACATGTAGCAGGCACCAGCACCGCTGTCAGAAGGAACTGGCTGTCTGCACATCCTGGAGCCCCCCAGTAAGGCTGGCAGGCACCCAGCTGGAATATGCAGAGCTGCAGGAAGCACCCCAGCTTCCCAATCAACCAAACTGCACCAGTATGGCCTTTCCCAACAAGGAGGCTGCCAGCCAGGTTGTGATTAAGGCAGCCAGGCTCTGCCAGGCGCACAGCCAGAGAACGAGGGCAGTTCATGTCCCCTCTGTGTCAGACTGGTGACACTGCACCTGGAACAGCGTGGGCAGCACAAAAGGGATGTGGAGAATTTGGAGAAGCAGAGAGCTGGCACCACAGTCTGAGCTTGGGGCACATCCTACTGAGGGAGCTGGGCTGGAACAGCCCAGAGGCAGAGGGACCATCTGATCACTGCCTGCAGCTGCTGTAAGGGAAATTGCAGAGGAAAGACATGAACTCTTCTCAGTAGTGACAAACGGTGTGACAACGGGCAACAGCCACAAACTGGGTGAGGGACAGTCAGGATGAATGTCAGTGAAATATTTTCGCTACAAGGGGTGTT